CCCCCCCCCCCCCCCCCCCCCCGGGCGGACTTTGTTTCTTTTTCTGGCAGATCGCAGACGGGAAGATGCGGTGGTGGACCGTAACGAGCGGGGGGCAGCTGCAGGCCTCTGTCTTCTCTGACGTAAAGTTTAACAGCACCAAGGCATCCAAGTCCGGTGGTCAGAAGCAGCACCAGAAGAAGAACAAGCACAAGCACAAGAAAAAGACCAAGACCAAGACCAAGTACCACTACGGCGGCGGCGGCGGCGGCGGAAGCCGGAACGAGTACAACAACTACGTGAGTAGATTTGCTCGCGCTGAATTTCGGTTTGTTCCAAGCAATGCGGCATGCACGGTCATTCGTGTCGGTTGTGGTATATGCCGAAAACTTGTGTATGCGGTACAACGTACGCCGTTTCTGCGCCTGATTCGCGTCCGAACAGGTAAACGGCATGAACAACGCCGGCCGGAACCACGAGGTGCTGCCGTACGAGGCCTGGGCCAACGGCCGATACAGGGACAACCGCAGAAGGGAGAGCAGCAGCAGCAGCAGCAGCAGCAGTAGCAGCAGCAGCGACAGCGACAGCGAATACGGCTACGGCCGCAAGCACCAATACGGCGGCGGAGGGAGCCGGCATGGCTACGGTGACAACCGCGGGCACACCAAATACGCCGCCCCCGCTGGCAGTAACGCCGGCTACGCACCACCCACAGCCCTTCCCCCTTATACGTATGGCGCTGGCGGAGCCCCCGCGAACTTTCAGGTCAGCAAATGCTACGGGATGTGGAGGGCACCAGTTCCTCAGGCTTTGGGCTTCGATGCCTTCCGTTCAAAGTTGATCGCGGCGGCTTGTGTATTCCATAGTGTTGGCTTGGCGTAGCCGCAGCGATTTATCAAGTTGTCTTTAGGGAGCGAAGATTCCACTCGTTCGCTTTGGCCGTGTTGCCCTGTGCCCTATTTGATACCATACTGATTGCAGGTAGCTTGTGTTCGGTCTTTGTCGCGGGTATCACACGGGCGTTGAACGAGTAGCCGCGGACATGCATTGAATAATGGAGAACAGCTACATTTTGGGCGTTAACCCTGGTCGCTTGAAGCACAAGTTGGTGGGACACCTCCCAATGTCTGGGTGGTTCACTGCCGCCTAGGTTTGTACTCGCCACCTCGGTAAACCTATGGACAAAAGCTACGCGTGATCCTCAATAGTAAAGAGTTTCGTGTCAGAAAGGGTTGCATGGTCAATATTTTGATTCACTCCGACAATAGAAGAAACCCTCCCGTCCTCCGTACTTGAACCGTTCCTGCGTTGCACCATCGTTGCGGCCTTGCAGTCGCCGGACTACCGCCCGCCCGCAACTGCACCTTCTGCGCCCCCGGCGTACCCGGCGACGGCTTACCCGCCGGCTGCGAGTGCACCGGGACAGCCGCAGGCTCCGCCGCCGTACCCTCGCGCCACCGCGCCGCAACAGGGCGGGGTGTACTACAGCCAGCACGCAAGCAAGACGTAGCTCGGCAGAGTGCCTTGGAGCAAAGCCCTTGGCGAAGCGATGGCAAGAGACGGTCGCGATCACCGGGAGTGTGACGGGGCCTAGTGTGGCGGTAGGAAGTCTGTCTCTCTTTGTGATGTTTTTCGGCAGGTGTTCTTGAGGAGCTCCAGTTTCTATGCTGCCTAAATGGGCGGTCTCGTTGTCACCGTTATTGGGTGACCAAGTCAGACCGTTGTTGAGGGCATTCCCCGCATCACCCACGATGATCCAGTGTTGGGACCAAGATCGAACCTGTCCCGAGGCCGATATAAGCCTTTTCCAGATGGTTTTTGGTGCCGCTCGTGCCATCTGGGTTGCAGAAGGACAGCGTAGTCTCTGGTTTTCATATAGTCTCAAGTTTGTCGACAGGGAATGTAGATGTCTGGCCAAATCCCCACATGGACCCTTGAGACGATCAAGCACGTTTTGTTTCGATTGGGGTGTTGCGGCTTTCGGAGAGTATATAAAACGGTGCAAGGGTCAATCGGAGGTTGGGGATTTAATGAGATAGAATGGTAACCCTATTTTGGACAAGCAGAGTGCACGGAAGTCATGTGGGCATAACTCGTTGTAACTACCCCCAGATCGGTGGGGTTTGCAGCGCAGACTCCTCACATTTTTGCCCTTTTTTCTGAGATGACGTTGACTGAGGAGAGCATTGGCCTTTCGGATCTCGTCCAAGGATTTCTGTTGTTCGGTATGTACGTTGTTTGGGGCGGGGCGTGAGTTTCGCGAATCTTTTTGTAACTGGGCGTATTTACGTGAACGAGACATGTTCCTTTGCTAAAGACATATTTTACAATACCCATGTTGCAAATGCTTCAAGCGGTGCTACCGGAATTGTGTGGGGGACGTTTGGTTGCATCTCTGGGGAAAATCGCTTCTCCTCTTTCTGCGAAACGTCTTCCCCACCAACATGGCATCAACAAGGCAAGATTCCATGCCTTCAAATTCGGGTACAGGTAGTGCAGCCTATGTAGGCGACGCCTTGGCATACGCTATGGCAACCGCCATGGGGAGGGCCTGAACGGTTCTTTGCGACGGCGTCGACCGTCCAGTAGCGTGGGACGAATGCCTCTACACGTGTGTGAATTCCCGTCTCATAAAGTTGTGAGATCGCCTCATTTGGTTTGGAGTCGTGTCATGCCTATCTTTTCTATGCTGGTTACGTATCTAATGAGGGGGTGAGTCCCTGACCTTGTTCCTCGACTGATGACCACCTGTGTCGTGATAGTCCCACGCACCCACGCGCACAGCACCGATCGCTGCATCCGATGCTATGTAGAAATCCATACAAATCTCCCCCGAAATAACCTCCTAGAGCTGCTCAAAAAAGCCATTCCACGGCCTCGGAATCTTCGGACGAGCCGCCAACAACGTGGATTGTCAAGCTCGCCGGCACATCGATGGAGTCAAGGTCCTCGGAGAAGCTCTGCCCCAAGAAGAGGGACTCCAACCCCTTCGGCCACTCGTTTGTGTCAAGCGGGTAATCGAACGAATCTCCCAAGTACAGCGCTTTCAGTTTGGCCGGCCATTTCACTTCGTGCAGCGGCTGGTCGAAGCTGTCGCCAAGGTAAACATAGGTGAGGCTAGGAGGAAAGCGAACCCTGTCTAGCGGCTGATCGAATCCATCACTCAGGCGCAGGAGTTGCAAAGACTTGGGTAGGTCTACCCGTGCAAGAGAGTGGTCCCACAGGCAGCAGAACTTCAAGACCGCTAGTCCTCGGGGAAGCCGCGTGTGCTCCAAGGTCTTGTTGAACCTGCAGCCGAACTTGAGGTACTCGAGATCTGCCGGCCACTTGACACCGCCAACATCCTACACGTAAACGAAATACAACAACGGACAAGAAGCCGAACGAACAACGAGGCGAGAATGACGGCAGGCAAATGAGACGATCACAGCCGCAGTCAGAAGTATAGAAACGTCGGCAAGCTGTCACATGCGCTGAAGAAGAAATCACCTTTGAGGAAAGAATCCATCACCTTACTGTACACCACGCAGGCCCAATCATTGTTCGTCATAAAGCTACTCTACCTTTTCCAAGCCAAGCTGTCCATGGTATCTTACTTTTTCGCAACCTGACACTCATTCATAAAACGCACCTTGTTGAAGTTCGTCCCGAACTCTAACCATTGCACAGAGGACGGGAACGCCACCGACTCGATCGGGTGGTCAAAATCTTGGCTGAACGCGATCTGGCGAAGCCCCTGAGGCCACAAAACATCACTGATGGGCTGGTTGAACTCTCTGCCCAACGCCAGTCTCTCGAGACCCACCGGCCATTTCACTCCACACAACGGCTGGTCGAAGACACCACCCAGAGCAAGCGTCCGCAGTCCATCGGGAAACTCCACCCCGTCCAACGGCTGGTCAAAGGCTTCGCCGAGCCCAAGCGACCGTAGCCCGCGAGGTAGCTTCACTCCAGCCAGGGGCTGGTTGAAGCCGCACCCGAAGGCCAGGCTCTCCAAGCCTTCAGGAAACTCCACTCTGTCCATCGGCTGGTCGAATGAGCACCCGAAACGGACGTGCGCCAGCGTCTGTGGCCACTGAACGTCGCTGAGGCTGTTGTCGAATTGCTTGCCGAAGGCAATCTCCCTCAATCGTTCAGGCCAGCGTATGCCGGTCAATGTTGGGTTGAAGCAGTCACTCAGTTTCAGCTGCCTCACGAGCACGGGAGGCACCCCGGGGACTCCTGCCACTTTCCGGCTGCGTCCTTGGCCACGTGCGTCTCGGCTGGCCGTCCAAAGGCGCCGGGGAGTCCGGGAGTTGACGTTGACGTGGAACTCGGTCAACTCCCGACAGTCTCCGCAGATCGATGAAGAAGCCAGCTGTAGCTGCTTGATGATCGTGACGGGTACCAACTCGGAGAGAAGAACAATCCTCAAGGCGGCCGAGAGGAGAGGCCGCGTTGGTGTTCTGCTGTTGGTGGCGATGTTAGCATTGTCATCTCTGCTTTCTGAACCGTCTACGCCTGTTCCACCTGCATGCGTGTGAAATGTGGCGCGGATCTGGCATTCACTTCCGGCTCGGACAGATTGGGTGGGTGGTGTGTGATTCCGCTGAGCCACCGATGGACAGCGGTAACTGCGCACAGGGCATGACCCTTTAACTCTGCATGGCAGGTTTGAATCGCCGCGTTTCGTGTACACGGCTTCAATTGTAGCATGGGAAAGCATCGCTGACCCTTGGGATTTCGTGAATGCTTGGGGAGGTACACTGCTGTAGAAGAGGAAATTGCCGTGGAAAATGCGCCGCATCGGAAAATCACAGCGAAGGACAGATGTTTTGTGTGATGGAAGGTGGTAGGTGTCAAGGATGCCTTCGGGAGTCTCGGGCATCAGCATCAACAGTTGAGTACATTGGGAGCAGCATACATCCTGGCATGTTCGATGCGCTATGCCAGGGCTCGTTCACTTAGCTGAACTTTCCCCTGCCGAACCCTGACACCAAAGGGCTGACAGTCCAGGAGAGGAGTGAAGAGTCACATCATCGCGGCTGCCATTCCCTAGACGCAGCCGGTAGCAGCAAAAGCAGGTTTCAAATTTAGGAAAGGAGACCAGCACTGCTCCCCTTCGCAGACGAAGCACCCCTTGGACGGTACCAAATCACCCGTGCTATTCCAGCCCACCCTCACCTACACGTGCGCAGGTCTTCATGCGGCGGCTGGATAGGCGCTGGCTTCTCCTCCTGTTCTTGAGTGGAATATCCTCCACGTCGGGAGCAGGTGTAACAAGACGGGATGCGACGAAGTCAGGTGGCTTGCAGGACGCGAAAGACGAGGTCAATGCGGATGGAAGCGACGCCGCATCTTGAGGAAGTGATTCGTTGGCCCCTTGAGTGAAGTCCATGATGACCTCTGGTACTTGAAAAGCAAGGAGTGAGTTGCGGTCGCTGGAGCCTTCTTTCTCTCTCTAGGATAGAGGTTCTTGCAGGCGAAACTGAGTTGTTGCAGGTTGAGTATCTAGGGAAAGAGTGTTGGTGGAGTGGAGGGACGAATGAGAGTGAGACGGGAGGGGCAAGCAGCGCGAGGGAGAGAGGGGGGGGACGAGCGAAGGTATGGGGGAAAATGCCTCTCAAACCAATTTTTGAACTTCCGGTTCCAGTCTGCGTGGTGCAGGGAGTCAGTTCGTGACTGTTGTACGTACTTCGGCAGAGAATACCCTGTTCGCTTTTGAAGGCACGGATGAGATGCGGGTCAAAGTATTGATCACTCTGCCCACGTGTATGTCAGCGACACTGCGGCATGTTGGAATCGACGTAGAAGCAGCGATGTGTACATTCCGTCGGAAGGGCCGCTGTGTCTGGGAACTGCGGACGGACCTGCAGCATGCGAAACACAATCCCACGCCTAGACAACAAACTGGCCATGGCAATCGGACAGCTCTTCCCCTCGGCCCCTTCACATCATCGACGTAATCCATTCTCAAGTACGGTGACGACTGTTGCTGCCGTGTCAAGTGTGTGGGTATTCTACAGAAGTCCGCGGTACAGTAGTGCAAGTCTATCGAGTGCTTGTTGCCGTAGCGAACCGTTTCGCTGCCTTTGTTGTACAAGTCGGCTGAACCCTGTCGTACGTAGTTATTCACGGCTCGGAGAGCAAGCACTTTGCGCCGAGTGACGCATGCGCTGTGGGAAGTGATTGGACCCCGGCTGTATGAAAAGGGTGCCTATCAGGATGCGGCTTAACCTATTGTAGGATCAAAAGTATTGCCCTGTAGGGGTGTACCATGCTCACATCCGCGGCTTCTGGTTTGAATGAGTGAGATGTGCTCATTTTGCAGTCGAGCCTATACGACTGCCCTCTTCAACCATCTTGCTTGAGATTCTAGACGAGAGCACGGTCCTATAGCGGAAACCTCCCCAGATTGGGTTGTTTAGGAGCTGGGCTCTTGAAACCTTCGCATTGAGTAGATCCGTCCACACTTGCTGGAATAGTTGCACAGCAGATGACAGGAGGAGTGAATCGAGATCGCCCCCTGTCAAGAATATGCAGAGGGTGTGTGGAGTCCGGTCTATCACGGGCAAGCGCGTGATCTGGTTGCATCTACACGGATGTAGAAGGGTGCCAGATCTTGGGCGAAGGCTGGCTGCGCACGGTGAGCCTGCTAACATTGGCTGAAAAAATGATTAGAAACATCGCCATATTTCCCTTGCATGCTATTCCACAACATTCCGTGAACGTCCCGGAATGACATTATTGTTTTTTCCTAGGTTTGACGTTTAAATCACAGGGAGACAGCTGAGGGGAGGTTGGCCATCGCGGATTCATTCCTGTATTGCGCAGATACTGGAGATTGTTTCACAGACAAGAAGGTGGACGCTGATGGGTACGCGCACTCCTGTACTGTAGGCTTCTGAAGCGTTCTGCATGCGGTAGCGTAATCTACTCTGTACGCTTGTTTACGACTCTCTCGACCTCGTCGTGGAATTCACTACGGTACTGCTGTAGACACTTGATCTCCGCCCAACATCATCGGCGTACAAAACTCAACCACTGACGGTCTCGGAGGTGTTTCGACGCTCGAGTTGCCTGTATCGACGACGAAGTCATTTCCCCGACAGGGACGATCCATGATGGCAATAGCTTGCACGACAGAATACTCGCGTTTGACATCAACTGAGGCGTCTCCATCCTGCAGGCGTGCGCTGACGGGGCAAGTGAAGAAGGCAGAACAACGGAGCACACCCTGGCTGGCATCATACTGTCATTGCAGCCAGGCGTCCTTGGCAAGGTCTTCCTTGGTGTTGAGCATCATGCCCCACTCAGGCGTTCCCGGGAACGCGAGCGGGGCAGTGACGTACTTGGTCATCACCTACAAGAGGCAACATCAAGAACCAGCGAAAAAAAAATGACGGGAATCGAACACGCGCGGAGGATGTGGATGCCCTTTCGCGCGAAGCGATCACGTCACTCATATTATGTGTGAGGTGGTCTTCATATGCAGTGAGTGACATCAACTAGAGACCAGGGGTAGCAGGTCAGGTCCTCAGATATCTGGCTCGGGTGTGTGACCAAGCCATTGACCTTTACGCGGCTCCGACTGGGGGTCTCGGAGCACGAAAGTGTCGGACGGGGCGGAACTACAATCAAGGTACGGAGTGGTAATCTAGACGTTGCACCACACTCTCTTCATCCTGGCTTATGAAAACCTCTGATGAAAAATGAATCACTTAAGTCGAGCTTTGCTCCTAAACTACGGGTGAGAGCCCATACCGTAGTCGCCCACACATAGGCGTACGTCACCTTCGCCACTCAGCAAAACGTCGAAGTGGCACTCCGATCTTCACTCAAAGGAAGAGTTGTGAGTGGATGGCACACAGCCATGCAATCTCATCTTGCCGCCTAAGCCGTTCAGGAATCTGATACTACTGTAAGTAAAATCAACCCTGATCAAAGATTGCATTACGCCTATGCTTGTGAAAATTCAACCCTCGGATCCACACGGCAGCAGGAAGCCAACCGTCTTTACGCTCGACGTCAAATTCTTCACGAATCCTTGGATTCTACACATATGCCCAAGAAGACACAGTCTTCCCTGTTTCCCAGGTTGCCATATTCGTGTACCCTCGCTGCAACGCACCTCCGGGATGGTGCCGCACTCTCTGCCGGACTCAATCATCATCCTCCACGGCAGGGTGTCCCTTCCCCTAATAGGGTCCTCGGTCGGACAAAAGCCCAGGTGCCTAAAACAATTGGGGAAATGTCGGAGTATGCACAGAGGAAAAGATGATAGGAGACGAGGAACACGAAAATGCCGAAAGGGGGGGTAGTTGGCGAGGTGGAGGGAGAATCATCTGGTGAAGAGATCAAACAAGGAAAGGGAACAACAGCGCGGGCAGGTGGAAATCTTGGCACCAATTAACTGCACGACACACGGGCCATGAGGTCAGCACTCTTGGAACCCAAAACGAGAACGAGACAGCGAAAGTACGAGATTGCCGGAAGCCGACCGACAACCTACCTGAAATCGAGGCTCAAAGGCCAATCTGTCCCACACTCTTCATCTCGAATCCAGTTCACACAATACAACCTGTTTCCTGGCTCGGTCTAGACTACATACATTGCATCTTTTTTCTACAGGTCCCTTCATTTTCTCGCTGCTAGTCTATTTTCCTCCTCCTCCTTTCTCTCACCTGCTTCTCCCTACCCCCGTTGCGCCTCCCCCCGTCTCTGTACGCCCCCCTTTTTCTGTTTGTGCCTCTCACCGAACATTCTCGGGCAGGAGAAGACCCTTCACCACCATCACCGATGCTACGAGAAGCAGGACGTTGCTCCCGACGCTCCCGATCCCGCTCATCGCAGCAGCGGAAGATGGCCCGTCCTCCTGTTCTCCTTCTTCTGCTCCGCGCCCCGCCCTTGCACGCAACGCCGTTGTCGTGACACCAGCGGTGGAAGTTTGACGAGCCCCGCCGTCGCGGCTGAGGGTCGAGACCGGGTTCCCTCCGCTCAAACTGGGGCAGAAAACGTAAGGGAGGGTGCGCGGACGATTTGAAGCAAGAGCAACATCGTCGTCGCCAACAGGTAGAGCTACGTTCGCTGAATCCCTCTAGATCCGCATGGCACGTGCTTCACAGGAGAAGTGTCCGGAGGAAGGAAACTGGAAGCTTGCATTCGCTTTCCACTCAGGTAAGCCAGAAGCGGAGCTTTGAATACACTCCTAGGATAAGGACAGCAACCGGCAGTGATTCGAAAAGCTATGGACAGAACGATTCCAACGCGGCGATGTTGCCTAATGCACGACACCGGTTACAAATGTTCGAAATAGCGAGTTCTGCGGTCGTCAGGTTTGCACCGGGGATGGGCGCACTGCTGGAAAATCTTGACGGACCTCGCCGTCTTCACTGGCGTCGATTGTCGTCTGGATGGAAACATCACAACACAAAGTGCTGGATAAGGTTACCTACTATGTCGTGCCTCGCTCCAGCATTGCGAACGTACGTGGTTGCGATGCTGAAAGATGGAAACACACGCGCAGGTGATGTAGATTGACGACATTGTCAAACGCTTGCCGACAGACGGATCAGTGAGCATCGCGAGGCAATGAATCTATCGTAAAGTGATTCCGATGCCAACGCACTCCGGTTGCCGTGCAAAGCTCGCGAGGAGGAACAAACGGCGGTGGCACCATTATTTCCCGTCCATATATAGGACCACAACGGAAGGCGAGGGTTACACCAAAACGTTAAACGAGTAGTCAACATCCTTGAAATCCTCGACAGGGATGAAGGCACAAGTGCACCGGCAGGGAGAGCATCAAAGCATGTCGAAGGCCGTCTCGCGTACCCGTTAAGGCCCAACCGGCTCCGGTCCCCCACGACTCCGGCGCGGTGTAGAGAATCGCTTCTCGAGGAGGGGGCCGCATCGACGACTCTCCCAGCAGGAACAACGAATCCATCAACTGTACCTGTTTGGATGGGGTGGGACAGGGGAACAAACAAAAACAGGATCGTTCAAAAGCACGGCAGTACTCTACGAGAGACAGGTTTGCGTCCTGGCAGCTCTCATGGTGAATCAAGTCTGGCTCTTCCGCGTCCTTCCCCGGATGGACAAACCAAGCTTCCGCGACCGGAAAGTCTACAGTAAAGGAGGCGCGAAATCTTGCTGGATGGGAGAGGCGTTGGGTGTGTGGTGGCGGCGGCAGCAATGGCAGCATCGCAGGTAACGTAACGAAAATAGTTCCGGGACATAGCGCCGGTCTGTTCTTGCCGCGTTGACACAAACAAATGGCAGCCAACTGTACAAGCGAACTATTAGACAGCAAGTGCTTCTACCGACAAGGTGGTATTGTTGGCATTTTGGCAAATCTGACCACCATCGGTCGTAACTATCACACGCCATGCACTGCACTGCAAAGTTGCTCGTTGCCAAATGTGGCTTCAACATGTGAAACCATTGCACAGACAGCAGCAGAGACCTGCGCTGCTCCCTTCGTGAGCCCATCATGTTATCTGCAGATGCGGTCCTTCGTCAAGGTTTTCTGCAACGAAATGTATGCATTCACTCCGTTTGTATGCGCTGCTGCCTGTGGCTGGCTGCGGTAGCCAGCCGCCGCCGTGAGGGCGCTCCAGGGACGAAAAAAAAAAATCTGACCTCTGTCCAGTGCTCCATCTGCTACATTTTCCATGCTATAGATAAGAATTTCCAGGATCAGAGAAAAACAAAACATAATTAACTCCGACCAACAAGCTTTTGCTTAGACATGGGTTGTAGCGAAGGGGGGGGTCTTTCTGGCGAGCAGGGCTAGACTCACCCTCAAGGGATGACCGAAACCTTCTTGCTGCTGCGCATCCGCCGCGAGGCGTGCGTGTGGTGGTGGAGTTGGGTCGGCACTGATGGGGTCAGGCGGGAAAATGTAGATGC